GGTTAGCTTTAAGCTAAGGATTTTGAAGCTGTCTTGCAAGAAGCACTAACTTCAAATCGTCACCGGATAGATCCTCGCATTGTAAATCGTTGTTTACAAGAATATAAGGAATCTGGACGCATACAGGTTGTTGTGTCGTATGTATTTACGCCAAGCGTAGCTGGCCCCTACGTAATTCAAATTTAGAGTTCTTATGTCAAGATCTGTTTACAAGAGTGGTTTGTCATCAGCTGACCGGCAAACAGAAAAGAAAATCGGCCAGTAGTTCGAAGGTAAAAGTTGTCTTCGAAGAATCGCACGTATAGTAACTCGACATATTGCTGAAGAGGCGCCGAATAAATTGTCAGAAGTCAACGCGTTTAGGAGCGACGAGGGCGGTGGAAATTTGAATGTATAGCCACCGTTAGCCGTAGGCCTACGTGGATTTAATTTCTGTTGGCGAAAATCTTCGAGGTTCAACTATGGAAACTAGGAAGAAAGCACCGAGCGAGATTTTGAATGAAGAGGAAGTCAACACCGAAGAGAGCCGTTCATGCTGGGTGTCGGAGAGCTGGACATTTAGGAGAACTGTGAAAATGTCGTGCAAGATTTTATTACAAGCTCAGGAGTTGAAAAACAGAAGTAGAAGAAACCGTTGCCAGGTATGAAGAATGAATGGAGCGAGAAAAAGAAGACAGAAGAAAAAAAAGCCCCCACCTGAGTTCAATTTTGGGCACCGGCGTCAGCTTCAGGAGGGAATCTCACGCCTTAGTTAGCTCTGTGACTCGACACTCTCCTTAACTAACTACAACACCTGCGCCTGGCACAATTCTGCCACCATTGTACTCTATTGCGAACTTATCACCAGCGAGTTTCCAGTCAACACCCGCTTATTATTGTGCCCCAAGAACAAGTCTTACTGAAGTCAACCCAGTGTTTGTTTCACAATCGACCCACCTTTGTCAATGCAATACCCGTACCTCTCCTTAGTCACTGACCTCTGCACAGCGGTCAGAAGCTGGGAAACAGTTGCACAAGGGATCAAGCTAGGTCCATCCCCACCAAAAGTAGAGTTAAAAAAGTTCAGTGGGGATGTGATAATTACGCTAATGAGAAAGCTTCCCGATGAAGGTCTTAAAAGAAGGTCGGTCGATAGAGCAGGAGATCTCATCAAGAGCAATGGTCGAGCTGCGTATTTGGTTTCATTAATTTTGTTAGAGAGGCAGCACAGCGTTTCAACAATGGATATGGAAAAGAACTGAAGTTTTTTCCATGTGCTAAGAGAGAAAGTAAGGAATCTGACAAAGGAAAGGCAGATTACCGGGTTAAAGTCACAACACTTGCTACTTACAGTGAAGAAGATCAGCAGGGCATCGCCATACCTACCGGAGTTCCACTGAAGTGTCCACAGTGCTCGGGACCACATGGAGTCTGGAGCTGTCGGATGTTTAGAAGCTCCTCTTTAAGAGATCGTTCAAAGACTGTGAGACAACACCGACTTTGCAGAGCATGTCTCTCACAGGGAAATAACGCGAAACAGTGTCCCAGAGGATTCCCATGCTCAAAGCCAGGGTGTGGCTAAGACCATCATTATCTAATTCATTCTAGTGAAGCCGACGGAAATGGGAGTGGCATCTAGACTAACGGCCATAATACGTTTCGAAGTGCCGAAAGGAATGGTGCAGCAAAAGGAACTGTCGCAGATCTCCGCTACGTTCCAGGGTCAATAGCCGCTAAGATTGGATCAGATAATCCTCCGAGCACTAAAACTCCACCTAGTGAGCCTGTTGCTGTGGGCGTGGTAGGAACCAGTCGACCTCGAGTGTGCTTGAAGGTTGTCCCAGTTAAAATCAGTAGTCGCAATGGTGCCAAAGAGATAGTTACTCATGTGAGTGTTCTTGGTCAGATGCTAGTTCCTGCCTCGAGGGCCTCGAGTTAAATTTGAATGATATGAGGTCGACTAGTGTTACGATGGCGACAGTCAATTGTGAAGAGAAAAGGACCGACCTTGAGGTTCAGCTGAGCGTTAAGTCTCTTTAAGGAGATACAGAGTTCAAACTTAGACATGTGTTAACCGCAGGGAGTCTTCCTTTTACGCTAGGGCATATGGATACCAACGAGGAAATAAGGAAGTAGCCTCACTTTGCTGACATCAGTGTACCCGAAACAGGAGATAAAAGAGTAACAATCCTGATAGGCAGTGATCATCCAGAAATTATCCACTTGCAGTTAGACTAGAGGGAAGAACATAATACACACTGAGCGTGAAGTTCTTGATGCACAACTGGAGCGCATGTACAATGAAGAATTTGGCGACACGAACGGAACTTTAGAAGAAGGCATGTCGGTTACATACCGTAAAGCCGAAGTAATCATGGATCAGTCAGTGACCTTAGTAAATGGGCATTATCAGATTCAACTTCCAGCTGTTGCTTCCAACTCCCAAAATGGATTTTAAACCGTGGTGATGTCTTGTCAGCGTTCCAATGGAAAAGAAGCTACGCACATTAAGGATTTGAAATCCGACAACTTGTCTCTGGATAAGGCTTTAGGAATCCATTGGGACGTAGAACGTAATACGATCGACTTCGTTTTTAGCGAGCGAGAACAGCCAGAGAATTGTAAGGGAGTACTGTCCTCGGTTGCGACCGTACTCGATCCACTCAGATTTGCCACTTCGTTAGTACAACTTGAAAGAGAAATCAATCAAGAACTGTGTAAATTAAAGCTAAGTTGGGACAACAATATCCCAGAAGAAATCCGTCTCCATTGGAGAAAGTGGAGAGAAGGCCATATTAATTTGCAGGGATTCAGGATCTCGAGATGTTTCAAGCCAGAAAGCTTTGGTAGAGTTACACGGGCAGAGCCACATCATTTTGCTGATACGTCGCAAGAGAATGGTTATGGAACAGTCTCATATCTGCGCCTCATTTCAAGGAAAGATACATAGCAGTTTCGTCATGGATAATTCGCGCGTGAAACCAATGAAGAACGCAATCACGGTGCTGTAGTTAGAATTAACCGCAGCTACCTGAATCAAAACGACCGTAATTAAGTAACTTGAGGGAAGATTGAGGATTGACAGTGTTACTTACTGGAGTGATTCGATTGGATAATATTTCTGAAGTATATTGCCGACGAAACGCGAAGATTTGTTACCTTTGTTGCCAACCGAGTGGCCATTATACAGGAAGAGTCAGAACCAAGGCAGTGGCGTCATGTGAGATCAGAACACAACCCTGCAGACTATGCTTCTCGAAAAATCAAAGCCTCAGAGACCAAGAAACTAGAAATGTGGAAAAATAAAGCAGAATTCTTATGGAAGAACGAGGACGAATGGCCCCACAGCCTAAAGAAGCTTCAGAACCACTCCTAGACAGCGACGAAGGAGTTAAAAGAGCGAAGATTACAGTTGGAGCAGTTTTTGGTGTTCCCTGTTTCAACGCTATCTTAAATAGGATCGGCTGCGAAGATTAGTCGCATGGCTTATTTGTGTTTTCACACATACTTACACGTCCAAAATTACGGGCTGAACGAAACACAAGTTCAAAGATAGAATTGAAGCTCAGTCCCACCCCTTTATCAGTGTCCGAAGTGACTGAAGCAGAGAAGAGGGTTGTGAAGTTTGTACAGAGACAGTCATTTCCTTTTGACATTGACAAGTTAGTGATAACAGATCGACCCTCACGACTTAAACCGTTTGAAGAAGAAGGAATATTATAGGTGTCGGAGGAAGATTGAAACATTCAGATGTAAAGTACGATGCTAAGTACCCAATGGTACTGCCAGGAAAGCACCCAGTTACTGAGTTGGTGATTCGCCAATATCACCATCTCGATGGACACGTTGGAGCCTATCGAGTCTTAGCGGAAATAAGACAACGGTTTCGGACTGTCAAGGGAGTTTCTTCAGTGAAGCGTGTTCTCAGCAAGTGTCATGTCTGCAGACGTTATAATGCCACGTTAGGAGAGCAAGTGACTGCACAACTTTCAATGGTTCAAGTCTCTTCTGACAGTCATAGGATTATCTATTCGTTTGCTGCCGTAGGATTAGATATTTTGGACCGCTTTACGAAAGAAGTGGGCCCTAAACAGGATCGAGGAAGAATGCTACCCTAACCAAGCGTTACGAATACATGTTTACTTGCCTAAGGTACTAAGCAGTTTATATTGAAGTGGCCGAAGACCTGTCTACAGATAGCTTCATCAACGTAGTTCTGCGGTTTGTTAGTAGACGAGGTCCCCCAATAGTTATTTACAGTAATAACGGTTCTAATTTCAGGAGCCGAGTTGAACGTTGTTAAGGCTTAGAAAGTGTGGGATCAGGAGAGGATCCAAGCCATCTTGACTAATGGAGGAATTCAATGGAAGTTCAATCCACCAGCAGCGAGCCACCAAAGGGGAGTCTGGGAAAGACTCATAAGCTTGATTAGAAGAATCTTGCACTTCTCAACGATGAAGTCTTACGCACGTTTTTGGTAGAAATTGAGAAAATCTTGAACGACAGACCGATAACTTCAGCGTCGAGTGACCCGCAAGACTTCGAGGCGCTTATGCCGAACCATATTCTTCTGTTACGTAGAAACCAGTCCTTTTGCCTAGACGTGTTTGAAGAGTCGGACAAGTTCAAGGCAAGATGGAAACATGTTCATCTTAAACTACCATTCATGCAGCCCGTAGGCCGTCGTCGAGTTCCTGATAGCCAACTTGTCTCTCTTCAGAAACAGTTTTTGTTGTTACTGAATTGGTCCGAGGTGGTAACCTTGAAAGCCTTTTGAAGAGCAAGGACGACGGAAGTAACGAATATGCAAATATCTGCTGTAAACTGAGCGACCGACAGCTGTTGAACATTGCACTGCAGGTGGCCTTAGGAATGCAACACTTGGAAGAGCGTAAGGTTGGCAACTCACAAAAAAAAAATCTCAAAGATAACTCTTGGCGAAAATTTGACTCATTCTTAACATGCTTTGGTATAATATTTGTGTAACAGAAAACCGGAATGGCAACTTTCTTTTCAGTGCATTCACCGCGACCTTGCAGCGAGAAATGTCTTTATTGATTCAAACAAGGTGGCAAAAGTTGGAGACTTTGGATTAGCAAGGAACATCTCAGACGATGGATTATACATTAAAACTTCATGTGTAAGTACTGGATTAGTCTTCCTTCTTATGTTGAAAGCCGCTGGAAATTTAAATTTCTATTTAAACACGACCACTCATTTTTCTCTGGGGTTGCATAAGCTCACCTCATAGAAACCCTGAATTAAATATATTTATTTATCGTAAACCACTTTTTTTTCTGTCTGCACTCTTTCAATATAAAAACAGTACATGTAAGTATCACTTTAGAGGGTCAGAACCTTGTCGTAGGCTAAATTTAATTATTTCCTGCTAAATTAGGCCAGCATACGCTTTGGTTGGCATGATATCTTGTTCATTATGTAACAAGCCAGAACGGGCAATGTAGAGGAGAACACATACAAAACCAAGATGTCGGACCAACAAGATATATTTAATAAAAGAAAACCGATGTCGTCAGCGGACCACGAGGTCGTGACAGTGTCACGCAATATTGTTACACATTATATATCACTTAATGATACAGAATAGCTTATTTTCATATACCTTTATCAACAGATTAAAGTTCCATGGAGATGGTCGTCTTTGGAATCTCTTCGAGATCGAGTTTATACATCCAAGAGCGATGTGTAAGTAGACAAAAAGAACCATGATGTCTGACGTGGACGAGGGAGCCTTGTCTACCACCAATACTTTTAGTCAAGATCGAGGCGCTTAAGGCCGCTGAGATTTTTACTTATCGAGAATAATGTTGTAGAGGAGTTCCTCTTCTCCTTTTTTCCTTCCTTTGTAATCCACTCGATGTCCATGTAAAACATCTTAAACAAATTGCCTCTTAATAGTGTCCCAAGCCAGGTTAGATCGCATAGTCTGAAAAGCCATTATCAGCATTCTGTATCATTCGGCGCCATATACCCTGATGATTTACGACTCTGGTACACTTTCAACCTTTTTATATATATATATGGAAATTTTTATGATGAACTTTCACTTGCTAAATTCTTATTTCTAAAAATTCCGCTATTTTTTTTCCGAAAACAGCATATACCTTTGACTGAACGCGTCCTTTTTCTTAATCATTTTCAGTTGGTCGTTCGGCATACTACTTTGGGAAATAGCAATATATGGTGGGTCTAGAAACATTCGATGATTTCTATGCCTAGGACAGCTATATTTAAACGCTTTATCATATGGCGAAGTGGTCCTGAGGTAAATTCAAGCGTTCAGTGAATTCAGTAGATTCGGCGAGCGGTCATTAGTTCGGTTCGGGATTTGTCCATACGGACCGTCCCGAGGAAACGATCATACACTGCGTATTTTTGTTCGCGAAAGTCGGCGAATACAAAATTAACAAGTTTGGTCCGAGTGTCACTCAACAAACTATTTACTAACCTCGCTTGCTCGAGTCTTACTGTGGAATATTGGACCTCGGTTGTTTTAGTGCGCACTTGGCTGCGCTCAGTCCGTACTGCCACACCCTCGACCCTCACGCTCAGTTAGTAAGACGTTAAAAATCCATTAGGCTTTTAAACTTAAAAGTTATTATAGTTTTAGTGCGCACTTGGCTGCGCTCAGTCCGTACTGCCACACCCTCGGCCCTCACGCTCAGTTAGTAAGACATTAATCCATTAGGCTTTTAAACTTAAAAGTTATTACCATCGAACATACCCTGTTATTTTGCTTTACAGGTGAGGCCTTACCCAAGCATCAAATCACCACTTTCCCTAGTAAGTCGGCTATCTACGGGCTATCAGATGCCTCGTCCTCATCAATGCTCAGAAGAACTGTAAGTGTTTCGATCATTTGCAAGACCGTCTATTTCTTACATATATTTGCTTACACGTTAACAGTCGACACTTCTCTCATTATTTAAGTAACTTGAAGCATTTGTCACGTGACTGGGTCGACGAAGTACTCTGGCTCCCGTAAGATTTGGAACTCTACCTATTTGGAATGTTGCTGTCGCAGGTGCTCCGTAGTTTAGCTGGGTGAAGATTGAGTGAGCTAGGTGACTGAAGAGGTCTTCAAAATTAAAGAATGATGCAATGCATTTGTAGGTATACGTTAATGAGCTCTTGTTGGAACGAGAATCCTTTGATGAGACCTTCGTTTAATGACATCGTACATCAGCTGGAATACTTCTCAAGAGAAGTAAAGGTGAGTGAAATTGGATTTAAGCTATTCCCTACTGCTTCCTTCCTCCTTCCACTTTTTTCCCTTTCAATTAATTACACTTGAGTAGATTACACAGAAACATTTTCAAATCCTTCAGTTTTCAAATGCCGAAGAGACTTGCATTTAAGGAGTCATATCAATCCAAGGAAATGGCAGCAAAAATCGAAACTCTCTTCGTAGTAAGTAGCTTATTAAAGTTAAAATTACATCCAAAGGAAAAATAAGACAAAAAAATTGTTATTAGAACAATGAAATGTAAGTTGAAAAAATGGGGAAAATACAGGTTTGAAGGTCGTGTGTAATAAGTTAAATTGGTCTTTCATGTGTTCTTTTCATAATCTTTTCTCATCCGCTCGCTTGTTCCTTTTGTCATTTTTATCCATTACCACTATTATCATTACTGCGCTTCCTACGTGTATCCAACCTGTCATTTTTCTTCGCTTCGATTCTTCTGTTCCAGAGGACATATATCATCATCATGGAGGATGAAATCACTAGCAGAGTTGATTTGAAGTAGAAGTAAAATGAGTGGGCAGAAAATCTAGCACCTAGCGCCATGTTGTGCTGTATTTCAAAATTGAGTAGTCTTAAATTTAACGACCTGTTCATCTTGTTACCAATTAACTAGGTAAAAAAAGAAAGTTGTAGAAATCTTAGTTGTTGTTATGCTGGTGGGCTAAAGAAACTCAGTCCCTTTTTTTTCCTTGAAAATTTTCATGAAAGTCGCTCCTGTGTTGGTAAATTAGTCAACTCCGCTTAATTGATGGGAGGACGTAAATGTGACATGCTTTCATTCATCAGCCGGAAATGGGTACAATTGTCTGCATTTAAAAGTTCGTTGCGAATTGCACCATGTTTATTTAAAGAGGATTAAGAAGACTGGAAAACGGACTTGCTGTCCCTGAATCCTTCCTGGCTAAAACGACCAGCCAATCGTCGTCGCAAAATTGGAAGACAACGAGATTATTCGTTTGAAAGAACTGTGCACTCACATGGACGTAATAGTTGAGAAACTAAGACGAAGACCACTGTTTTTGTATAATAAGTCTTTAAGTAAGCAATTAAAGGAAGATGAACCACGGTTGATCTCAATGCACTGGTACTCTTACAGAGATATCACTGAAACAGAGTAGGGGCGCTTATTTGAATGAGGGCTTTAGTCTACCTCTTGATTATGTGAGTGAATCTGTACTCAGATAACCCATGCGACACACAGGGCTCGGCTGACAGATCTTGGTACTCTGACGCGAGGAAAACACTTTTGTTTTTACGACTAACAGCTCCGCTACGTTCTAGAGTCCCGTCCTTGTGTTTCACAAATGTTTAGAAATTCTAAAAACAAAGAAACAGATGTATGATATGGAAGTCGAAGCAGAAAGTAAATATAGCTTGTTTAACTTATCAACCTTCGCCGAAAAAGAAACTATAAGGCAAAAATTATCGATCAAATACACTTTATGCAACCGTTTCGCGAAATTTTTACCAGTCGGCAAAACTGTTCTGTGTACATTCCCTATGGCGCTGACTGGGAGAAATTCGTTTATGGTCGAGAGCTCGTTAAGTTGTTGATCAGTAGGGTTTAAAGAGTTAAATCATATGAACCCTTCAACTCCCGAAGATCTCATTAGTAATCCTCCTTACTGTCTGCTATACAAATCTTCTGATGTTACTTCTAAGAATTTGGTATTGGATCAACTAATAACTCCTAATTGATACCTTTCTTGGTTCTCATAACTAGTCTTCTTGATTTTGTGATGATATTGTAAGGAGAAATTCTGTCTTGGTCACTCACGGAACTTAAAGGGTTAAACTAGAGAACTTCAAAGATGGCTTCTTGAAAAGTACATTTAAAATAATAAAAAGCCTACTGCTTTTGAAAATTTGCATAAAATGGTTTCTGAATCTTTAGCACTGCCAAATAGAGCAGACTGCGAATTGCTTCAAGCATGCAGTTACATCTAGGCTTGCAGACAAAGACCGACGCGCTCATATGAATAACATCGCCAAAAATCAAGGACATTTCGAGCCCGCTAACAATTATCAGC